TCTATGTGCCTGTCATTATACCAGACCAGTACAATTATACCAGTACTGTTTTGGTTATTACTGCTATGTGGTAGGTTTTGAGGTCAGGGAGAGGCATGACTGTTGAGTTAGCAGTGATTCAGAAAAATTAGTGAGAAGAGGAATGCAAAGGGCAGAAAAGCATACCAGAAAATATATAAACAAAATTAAGACAGAAGTAATTAAAGGAAAGAAAATCATTTTATGATGTCAAAATATGCACTTTAGAATTAAAGTATAATAGAATATCTTCACCAGCTAATTCTGTGGGATAGTCTGAAGCATGTTGCACTGCTAACCAAAAAAGGCTGTCCTCTCTGCCAGTTCAAATCCACCAGAAACTCCAAGTGGCAAAGTTGGGCAATCTCCTCAGATAAGAAATACAGCCTCAAATTTGAGTATCAGTGCTATCCTCATCATCACTATTTATTGGCAGTTTGCTATGATTTTTTTTAATTAAATAAAGTATTTAAAATTAAGATGAAAAAATAATTACAGCCTCAGAAACCTGATGGAGGTTTGCTAGAAACCTAAATCAAACTTATGACAGTGAATTTAAACTTATAGAAGACTTAGTCTGTAGGGAGCACTGTTAACCCAAAGTCCTCCCTACTCTGACAGTTTAAATCCACCTATAGTTCTGCAAGAGGAAGGAAGACAGTCTCCTCCTGTAGAATTCCCAGTGGAAGGTCAGATATTAGTCAGTTCTGATTTGGCTACAGTGAGTTTTAATTTTAATTTTGAATAACAAATAAAATTTCAAGAGATGCAAAAAAAAAACCAAACAACCATTTCAAGTAGAAAATACCAATTCATTACTATCACATACACATGAAAAAATGTTTCCCTAAATTCTGTTATAGTATTTTTATTATTCTAATTTTCTAGACATTCTGAAATTTGTGTTTTCTTTGACCAGTGTTTATTTTAAGAAGACCTTTTTAAAGCTTTTGATTTTCCGATTATCTGGTCAGAAAACAACAGCAAGCCTGTGTGTAGTATTTTGAAACTTTTTGTTAGTGATCAGGGTAGATTGCCACTTAGCATCTATTTGAGCCTCTTTTTCATGCGCTCTTTTCTCTAAAGTTTGAAAAGCTAAGAATGATGTTTCATAGGTTTTCTGGAAGTTAAGCTCCTGGATATAAACTAACTTCCGTTGTCTGAATACAAATCTGCCCAGTTGGAAGTCTCTCTCCACATCTTGTATTAAGCTCCTTTCAGCTTAACATAGAGTGATGATTTCCAGCAAGTGAAATCAGACTAATATATGAACAATTCAGAATGTCTCGTGATAGCGTATTTTATTACTGTATTGGTTTTAGATCATTGTAGGTTTTTTCTTTATTTAATTTATATATTGCTTAGTTTGTGTAATTTGCACTTTTTTTCCCTTCTTTTCTTTTAAGCTATTACAGCTAATTGCAAAATCTCAGTTGACTTCCCTGAGTGGCGTGGCACAAAAGAATTATTTCAACATTTTGGATAAAATTGTTCAAAAGGGTAAGATGATCATCAATATTTTAATAAGCTAAATCTTAATCAGAAATTTGGTAAAAGAATGTGGAATACATCTTTTGGGTTCACCCTCAATATGTATGCTTTCAAAATCAATAATGTAAAGGGGGCAAAGAGGATAGCATTAGACAGGAAGGCAAATCAATGTGTTCCTTCAGTTGTTTACATTATATATATAGAATATATTCTCATAGTTTTATGTGCTTACCAGTCAGTCTCTGCAGACAAATATGGAAGGTGGCCACTTGGTGATATCCTTATTTGTTCTGATTCCAAAAACAATCCAACAGAATGTAGAAATTATCAAAAAATATCATTAACATTACATGCAAGTAAAATCTTGCTGAATATTATTTTTTTAAATGACTAGAACAGGTTATTGATGGAAAATGTCCAGAAATACAAGCTGGATTCAGAAGAGGCATGGCACGAAGAATATCACTGCTGAAATCAAATGAATCTTGCCCAAAAGCAGAGAATATGAGGAAGATGTTTACTTGTGTTTTATTGATTATTAAAAGGCATTTGATTGCGTGGATCATAACAAATTATGGCTATCACTGCAAAGAATAGAAATAAAAAATAATTCATTGTATTCATGTGAAATCTGGAAATATACCAAGGGGAAGTTTTCTGAACTAAACAAGGGAACGTTGCATGGTTTAAAATCAGAAAAGATGTGCATCAGGTATGCATCAGGGTTGAATTCTTTCTCCATACTTTTTAATTCTGTATGCTGCGCAAATCATTCGAGAAGCTTGACCACATGAAGAAGAATGTGGAAGACTCATAAACGGCCTGTATATGCAGATAACACAACGCGGCTTGTTGAAAGTGAAGAGGGCTGGAAACCCTGATTGAAGAAGAGCAACATGGCTCACCTTAAATTTAAATTGAATCTTAAATTTCATTCAAATAATTTATTAATATTTATAATTTAAGACTATATTTGTGTATATGTGTTTATTTGGGTGTATGCCATTTTCAGTAGTGCTTTATGATAAATATGAAAGAGCTTATAAACTGCATATTTTAAAGAATAAATTACTTAACTGAATATATAATATCAGACAAAATGTTTTCATATATAAAAAAATCACACTTGTGATATTTGAAAAATAATGCTACTATGGAGTTTTGAGAGCTGGACAGTGAAAAAGGATAACAGGAAAAGAATTGACACCTTTGAGCTGTAGTGTTAGAGAAGAGCCCTGAACAGCCAAAAAAGTGAACAGCTATGTCTTGGAGAGGGTGGAGCCAGAGTGCTCTTTGGAGGCAAGAATAAAGGAGGCTTCACCTCACATACTTTGGGCATGTTGTTCTTAAAGGGGCTATTCCTTGAAAAAGGACATGATGCTGGAAAAGTTGAGGGTTGGTGAAGGAGAGGAAGACTCTCAATCATGTATATTGACACAGTGACTGCTGCAATGGGCTCTTATGTGTTGTGAAGTGTGAGGGTGGCACAAGATAGGACAGAATGCAGATCTTTTGTTCATTGGCTCACGATGAGTTGTACTCAACTTGATAGCATCTCATAACAACAATGGGGTTTCAGTGAAATTAGTTTTTAAAAACATGCTTAACTCAGACCTTCAAGCCATAACTTTTCTTTATTCCAGTTCTCCATGACCATCAAAATCCTCGCCTAATTAAAGATCTTCTCCAAGACCTCAGCTCTACACTTTGTATTCTTATTAGAGGAGTAGGGAAGTCTGTGTTGGTGGGAAATATCAATATTTGGATTTGCCGATTAGAAACTATCCTCACCTGGCAGCAACAGCTACAGAATCTTCAGATGACTAAGGTAAGAATTTGTTGACTTAAAAATTACTAAACGTTATTTTTAATATTTCAAAAGTGGTGGCCTAGTGGCAAGGAGCTGCAGCTACAATCCCAGAGGCGCACAGTTCGAATCCACCAGATGCTCTGCCCAGAAAGGAGGGACAATCTCCTCCTGTACCAGTCAGATCGGATTTGACGGTACACACACACACACACACAAAAATAATTAAAAAAAATTCCAAAAGTTATTTCTCTTTCGAAGCATGTGATTCTTAGAAGTTTTTGAAATATTTTTTAAACTTTTAATTGTTTTAAGATAGATTGGGACCATGTTGTTGTTGTTATGTGCCCTCAAGTCGCTTGCGACTCATAGCGACCCTATGTACAACAACCCTAAACTTTGCTCTGTCGTATGTCAATTTCACTGTCTCTGACACTCCCATCCCGATTATCCTAGTCACTGAATCAATCCACCTCATAGAGGGCCTTCCCCTCCTGAGCTGTCCCTCCACCCTCCCAAGCATGATGTCCTTCTCCAAGGACCAGTCTCTACTCACAACATGTCCAGAGTATGTTAGACAGAGCCTCAGAATCCTTGCCTCCAAGGAGCCATCCGGTTTAACCCTTTCCGGGATGAATCTGTTTGTTTACCTAGCAGTCCATTGTACTCTCTATACTCTTCTCCAGCACCACAGCTCAAAGGCATCAATTCTCCTTCTATTCTCCTTGGTCATTGTCCGACTCTCTGATGCATAACA